GCTAAAACCAATCAACTTGTAAGAATTCAGCCTTGAAAAGCATATTTAGGTCCGTTTTAAGTCTGTGCAATAGAGTTGGCAGGGCTTTGAGCCATTCAGAAACCACCGCTCTATGATTTTTGGGCCTATACTGGGTCCGATATGTACCGCTATTCATGAGGGAAGAGTAAAGTTCTGGCTCACATGACCTTGCCTAAATGGGGCACTAGCGCGTCAAGGTATACGGTACCGGTATACCTATATATTTGTATCGTCAATCCCCTCGATAGAACTCGACAAGTTTCATTCAATCTACAGAATCCCCTCCTACCTCGGTGAACCATTTGCGCCATATATATCCTCCCGGAAAAAAAATATACAACTCTTCTTCACCACCCACTGCTCATCTTCCGATGTCCGTAATCCTTCCCTCCTCGACATCAGACGCCCACACAAAACCCCCATTCATCATCGTAAGCGGCATTCCCAATTTCCGAGATGTCGGTGGCTACCCGATCTCCTCTCCAGCCGACCACTCCATCCGCAGAGAGGTCATCTACCGCTGCGCAGACCCGTTCAAAGTAACCGAGGCTGGCCTCTCTACTATCCGAAAATTGGGTATCACGCACATCTATGATTTAAGGTCGAACAAGGAGATTGAGAGGAATCGGGTGGCGGGGGTGGGCGGGAATGTGGAGTGGGAGGGATGTGAGAGGGTTTCTGTGCCGGTGTTTGAGGGTCAGAGTTTTAGTCCTGAGGCACTGCCTGGGAGGTGTAAAGATTACGCTAGCGGGAGTGCTGAGGTAAGTTCCCATATAACAGAATTGTCAGATTGAAAGAGTATTGACTGATGTGTGAGTAGGGGTTCACACGTGCCTACGGTGAGATTCTGAACGGTGCACCGAAGTCGTATAGGACTATCTTGTTGCATCTTGCGTATGAGCCTGAGAAACCTCTCCTTGTTCATTGTACGGCTGGAAAGGATAGAACGGGCGTTTTCTGTGCTTTAGTCCTGTCGCTCTGCGGAGTTGACGATGAGCTCGTGGCCTATGAGTACAGTTTAACGGATTTGGGTTTAACGAAGGAGTGGAAGGAGGCTGCAACCGCCCATTTGATGGGGAATACTGCTCTGAATGTTGAAGAGGCAAAGAATGTGTTATCGTCAAAGTAAGTTGTGTTCTAGAATCTGATATGGAGCCGGACTGATGTGCTGGACAGAGCTGAGAATATGATATCGACTCTGAAGATGATAAGAGAGAAGTTTGGAGGCCCTGAAAGCTACGTTATGGAGATGTGTGGTTTGACGAGGGAAGAGGTTGAAAAAATAAAAAAGAATCTCATCGTGGAGGAGCCGGCTGTGCATTTAAGGGCACAGTCTATAGACAAGTAATGTCTACTGCATCATCGACATCGTCACTTAGACAATACCCTTTAAGCTAGATCATAACATCCCCCCTATCAAGTCCACTTCATCTATGAAGCAGATATTTTCCAGTGCGGGGAATACATCACCGCCGCAACACAACAGCGTCCACCTCCCGCTGGGTTCCTACCTCATTGAGTTTAACGAGACTGTCTCCGTTCTGGACGTCAAGGGCCTGCTGTTTGTGCATAGCTCTCTATCCAGGTACGGAGCGCTGCTGTATGTGAGTGCTTTGGGTATAAAGGGGCTGTTAGGGGGCTCTTGCAGATTTTAAAACCGTTCGGCTTGCAGTTGTACCGGTATAGAGATGCTAGGTTGGGACAGATTACTCTTCATATGAGATAAGTGGATCAAGAGGTTTGGAAAGTATCAGAGCCACGTGATAAAGCACAGTCGGCACATGACTACACACTAGGCGAAGATGTGGGACACGCAAAATTTTCAGAGCCTGTCCTTATTAAGTAGCTCATCCATCTCTTCGCAGTCCACCTTGCGTCTAACAAAACCCTCCTGGTGAGCAATTGTGACCTCACCTCAATTGGGTCACATCACCATGCTACCTACAATCCGATGCACAGCTTCGTTTCCCTCAGCGTCTTGTGTAAAACAACTGTGCAGAGCTGGATCTTCGTCACGATCTTTCTCTACATCACAACGACATGAGCAACGAATGACGCGGGCTCGACGTGGCCTATTCCGCTGGCTGGGAACACAAGGCGCGAATTTCTTGAACCCGCTGAAAAACTCGACGAACTATATGGGCGCATACAATGCCCAGGGTCAATTGAAACGTGTGGTCGAGGCCCAGGCTGAGAAGCAGAAAGAAAAGGAAGATGAGGAAGCCAGAGCTGTCAAGGATGGTAAGCCTATCCTCACCGAGGCTCAGGAGGCTCCGGAGGGCGAAGACAAAAAGACCACGGCGGCGTTACCACCGGAGACCAGCAGAGATTTGATACCATACCCGTGGAACCGGAGTTTCGTCAGCCAGCCTGTGCTAGGTGGAATGGTGAAAGAGGTGATCTGGTTTCGCATAATGCACGAGGGTAAGACTGTCCGAGAGGTCAGCGCCGAGTTTGGTGTTGAGATGAGCCGTGTGGGAGCTGTTGTCCGACTGAAGGAGATTGAGAAAGAATGGGAAAGAATAGTAAGTTGCCTGAACATTTCATTGTCTCGTCGCCAACACTCCATATGATGATCTATAAAAATTCGATTAGTCTTCAAGACAACTACATGGTTACAAAGTTTACGCATGCGAGCCTCTCTGATTACAGTGTTGCCTTCCACCATGAGCATCCAACAGCTTTGGAGGTTTCTGCTAACTCTTCTTACTTTTAAAGGGCAAACCTCTCGCCAATGCATACGATCATGCAATAGCGAAAATGCTGCCGAAAACCCTCCTAGCTGGTCAGGGCGAGAAGATCAATAAACACGAGACTATTAACGACTTGCCGGTACACAGAGCGACCGGGCAACAGATATTCCACCCTACCTCCGAGTCGAGGCACTTCACTCGTGCAGATGCAGCCAAGGTCTTCGATAAGAAGCTGCTGCCGGCCGACGACCGAGTTCCACATCCCGAACTCGCGATCATTCAAAAGGAGTTCCTTCAGGAGCTTACGCGTGAGGAGCGAGAAGTGAACGCGAAGGCCAGGAAAGAAGCAGAGATCAAGAAGATGGCGACTGCTGCTGCTCACAAGGCCAAGAAGGCAGCCGCCGTCAAGAAGGTTGACACTGGGAGATGGGAATTCCACTTCACTGAGGTCAATGTTGACGAGGCTGGCAAGACCGGAAGAGGCCACAAGGCTACGGGCTGGAGATATGGAGTCCCATTGATGGACAGGAGTCGCGGACAGATCAAGATACCCACCAGTGTCCAATGATAACTGTACACTGTAATGTGTAGTATAGAGGAAATTTGCTGGATTTAGCGCATGGAACATCGGCGTCGGTGGGCCTGGATGTATTGACTATGTTGTCATGCTACTGTACAATTCAAGAGGAGAAGAATTCTGCTTCTTCAGAACGTCTAACGTCTAGTTGGGTTGAAGTCTGATGCCCCAACGTCTACCTGACATGTGTAAAGCTTGGCGGGTAGACTCCTGGAGATGGTGAGTGGGTATGTACACGGCAACTTCTTCTCTGGCCGAGCGTTCAGGACCTGCCAGTGAGCATACCGGTATAGCAAAGGATGCAGGTTCAAGGGATTCAGTCTTGGGACAAAGTGAGTGATGGCTATCTTGAAAAATGCTCGAGTGCGAGCTCGAGCTTTTCATTCCTCGGCCTCGGGAATGATGAGGGGCAGGCTGAATGAGGAAATGCCTGACTTGCTTGCCCGACTCGGGTGGGTAAAGGACCCACCCACCCACTTGTGAATCATGAATTCATAGCGGGATTGGATGGTGGCATGTGTGGAGATTGTATGTATATGTATGTGTGGATATTGTATATATATAAGTATGTGTGTATGTGTGTATGTGTGTATGTGTGTATATATATATATGTGCGCATGTGTGTATGTATGTATGTGTGTATCTATGTACCTACCTACCTATGTACCTATGTAACCCGAAAGAGAACAAGAGCCAAAACCCGAGTGGAGAACAAGGCCCAAATCCGTGGAGGGTTCATCCTCCGCTGTGCCGCCCGTCATCTTCGTCTTTCTTCCTTCGGCCTAAACAAAAACAAAATGGCGCCAAGCCCCAACCCGCGCGAACCCTTGCTAGAAGAGGCGGGTAGCCCGAGTAGTACTAGCGTAACCCCTAGCGCGCCTTCCGTTCTCACGCATACAAATACCTCTGCCCCAACTGGCCGAAATGGCAGGAACGACGCAACACAATTCGAAACTGAACACCTCATCATCACCACCACCACCACCACCACCACCACCACCAACATCACCACCACCACACCCCGCCCTCCTCCTCAACCACCAACCTCCACCTCAACGCACAACAATTCCCCTTTGACCGTAACAATCTCCTCGACCACTGCTGCATTACAGAGATTACGGAACGGAACAGAAAGGCTGAGAAGATGTCGGACAAGGAATTTGGCAGTGAGTTATCGCGATTTTTCTTTCAGTTGCATGTTCGTTATTTAATCCTTCATGTTTCCAGAGCACGTGAACGCGTGACTGCTGTTCTGGATGATCTTTTTTTTTCTCCTCCTCTCCCCTTCGGAGGTCCGTCCTCGATCAGGATCTGGATCTGCATCTGGATCCGGATCTGGATCTTGCGCCAGAGGGAAAAAAAAAATTAAATTAAATTGGTCTAGCGGGCACCTTCCTTTTCCGCTGCCAGTGCGGCTCCGCTCCGCGTGAACTTGAACTTGAAATGTTTTTATTTCTCTTCTCCCTTTACCCTTCTTCACATTTCACACTTCACCCTCCACCCTCCACCCTTCACCCTTCACCCTTCACCCTTCACCCCCAACCTCCTAAATCCAACGTCCAACTCCAAACCTTCCACCTCCAACCCAGCCTGCTCCTATCAATCATCAATTATCCACGCGTTTGGCCTATCGAATCCAGAAGTCCATCATTCACACACTGCACCACCAGGAACGGCCGCCACCGCTGCGGCAACCACGACCGCGACGGCTACCCCGACCTCGAACTCAAAATCGACTCCAAAGCCGACGCCGGCGGCTACGGAAGACGAGAAACCAGCGAGACTCGGCATGTCGCTGCGTGCACGGCCCGAAACCGTCTTTCCCGGCATGGACGTGTTCAAGTCCAAAGCGCCGCCCAAGGTGAAAAAGAGCCGAGTTCCCGCCAAGGCGAAATCCTACAGCGAGGACGACTTGGGCGGCATCGTGTATCCCGGAATGGGCCTGTTCGACTCGGCCACGGCAGAGATGAAGTGGCTCCGGAACCAGCCGAAAAATCCGAAACTGCTACAGGCCCTCATCGCGACGTCGCTGCAGGTCAGGTGTCCGGATCCCGAATTGTCGGTTTGGGATATCAACGATGGTCTGAAGAACTCGGGCTCCGCCTCTAAGCCGCAACCGCAACGCCAACCCCATCCCCAACCCTCAGGCATCATCTCGAAGCCGCAACCCCAACGCTCAACCATCATATCCAAGCCGCAATTGCAATTCTCGGGCATCAATTCCAAACCGCTACCTCAATCATCAGGCGTCACGTCCAAGCCGCAACCTCAATTCCCGGGCGCCATGTCCAAGCCGCCTCCTCAAACACCTCGTCAGATTCAAAACCCACCGCCGCCAGCACCATCACACCCCACGCTCTATCACTCCTCGTTCGCACCTCCCACCAAGATCATAACTCCTCAGGCCACAAAAGAAGTGAAGCTGCCACCTACCGAGACTCTTCCCGTCGAGCCCGCACCCGTCGAAGCTCTCTTCCCTCCTTCGCTCTTCCATCAAATGCGGATCTCTGCGCCAGAAGATGAAGACGAAGCTACAGCTAAGCCAGTACCAAGAGTTCGACCAGTGATCGGGCGTCGCTGTCTGGTCTGCAACATCAACCTCATCAACTCGCCCAGCGGTGATTATCGTATGACCTGCTTCCGCTGTAAATTCGCCGAGAGGTTCAACACACTCCCTCCCTTGGCAGAAGGAACGCGATTTTGCGACAAAGAGCTCCACCACATCCCAATTTATGCGATTGACTGCCCTCGATGCCGTCACGAGGTCCCGGATGGCAATATTGATGCTTCCGTTCGCGGTGACCACTACTCCACCGTCATCAAATTTGATAAAGTCCTCAACTCTGGGGAGGAGGAAAAGCCCTTCATCAAGGTGTGGACTTTCGGTCACGGGATCAAGGTCGACCCTCAGATTGAGTACGGGCTAGAATAATGGGGCGAAAACAGCCAACGGGAGCTGGGGGAGATGGTTTGATTGTTTTGGGGTGGCCAGTGGAAATGGCACATGTTTCATGCATCTCGGGTCTGCATGCGGTGGACCCAACGCACTCAAATTGTAGTCGGTGCTCCACTGAGTCTCACCCGGAAGGACACCAATCTTCTGACTTTGCAATGGTCAGTCAACCTTGCTCTTCGATAATGTCCTCCTTTCCCAGGATGGCTCTTCTGTCGCCGCTTGTGTTGCCTCCACATCGGAAGCCCACTTCTGATGATATGGACCCTGCAGTACGGGGTACATACGTCCTCTGAAGAGTCCATCCTTTCAGGACAGCGGACCAATGCAAACCTGACAGATTCTGCGTCGCTGGCGATCCTCTTCCTTCTCATTTGAAGGAGTCTGCACCTTTTCATACTTTCTTTTCGTCACTCTATGCGGTCGTCTGCCCATGGTACGTGACCATTTACTAAATTTGGCTCTTCTAGGCAACGATGACCTTTCTCTCCCGAAAGGTAAATATTCCCTACATCTTCCAACCATCACCTTGGCCATGACCGTCAACAACGTGCTACAACATCTCAGATGCAGCAGCAGTAGATGCCCGGCTCTAGGCTTCTCGCCGAGGCTTAGGGTTCTTCTATCGACGTTTGCATACTAACATCTCATAGCTACTGTTCAAAAGATCGTCGGTGAAATCCTCGCGAGCTCTCCAGGAATGGGCCTAACCAAAGACGCCCGCGATCTCCTCATTGAATGTTGCGTCGAATTTATTACTCTCATCTCCTCCGAGGCCAACGAAATCAGCGAGCAAGAGAGCAAGAAGACCATCGCCTGCGAGCACATCACTAAAGCCCTCGAGCAACTGGGCTTTGGAGACTACGTACACGGTATTATGGAGGTGGCTAATGAGTACAAGGAGCAGCTGAAGGTATTTTTTCCCCTTCCGAATCTCCCCTTACACTAGCATCAAACACTGACACAAACACTGACAATCCACAGGGTCGCGAGAAGAAAGCCAACAAGCTCGAGCAAAGCGGTCTCTCGACTGAACAACTCCTGGCTATGCAAGAGGCTGCTTTCAAAGACGCTGCGCAACGACACGGGTGAATATTCCGCGTGCTTTTTTCACCTTTTGATTCTGTTCTCGGTCTTCGTTTGAATTGGGGAGGGTCATGGTTTTTCATGGCGTTTGGCTGGGTTTAATGTGCTTTTTCCATGTGTGAAGGGGTAAATGTATCATCCCGCGGGGAGGCAGATCAGATAGTTAATGCTATTGTGTTTTGATTTTTCCACTTAGTGATTGATGCGAATTTGATTTTGACACCGTGACACATAGCGTGTGAGCTATATCTGCGCGACCAACAATTCTGGTCGGTCATCTAGGATACCCGGTAAGCTAGGTAGGCCAAGCGAATTAGTAGTAGTGGTAGTATTCTATTCCGATTCTGTGTTTGTGTATGTATATGTATATATGTATGTGTATGTATGCGTCGGGGTAGGTACGGTAGGTAGGTAGGGTTTCCTTTACATACCTTACCTCTCTTTTTACCTTCCTTTATCCGCAACTTTACTTTCACCTCCCACCCTCCCTCCTTCCCTCCCTCCCTCCCTTCCCTACTTTGTATACTACTACGTAAATGAAGCAAGCAAGAAATCGCCCCCTTCCCTTCCCTTCCCTTCCCTGTCTGTTTGTTCTAAATAAGACTTGATCTTATTTCTGTTATATTTACTTATTTATTTACTTATTTACTTATTTACTTACTTATTTACTTATCCTTCTTTTTTTTTC